GGGCTCCTCCCACCCCAGAAAGAAGGGCTGGTCAGGAAAACGTGGAGCCATTTCCCCCATCGCACCATCCCTTTCTTCTTCCTTCTGCGGCCTCAGCCTTAGGGGTTTTGGAGGACGACTTGAGAGTCCCGGGGACTTGGCAGGAGCCGGAGGCCTGGCCCCGTCTCTGTGGCTGCTGAGTGATCCTCGGGTGCTGGGTTTTCTTGATAATAGCAGCTTCCTCTGAGAGATCTGCCCCTCTAGACTGTTCCCTCGGGGCTGCTAATCTCAGGACACTGCCTCAACCACAGGTCTGGCCAATTATGCTACCCCAATCCCCTGAGACATGACCACTGACCCAAGTTTGGGGACATGACTGAAGTGAGACCAGTGAGAGTCCTTCCCTTGAATTTGATATATGGAGGCTGAGAGAGGGAAAAAACTCACTTTCCTCTGGGGGTCCCCAGATGAGGTGATAAGTGCCTGAGGCCACAGGTAAGCCTGTCTTTCTCCTACTCTTCATGGAAGAAGCTTGTGGAAAGAGTCGGGGATGGGCAGCTGTCCAGGTGGGGAGGAGGGGTTCCTGTTACACGAGGTAACAAATTCCTTTTGCTTGAGCTACTATGGGTTGGGTTGCTGTCACTCGCAACCAGAAGAGTCCTGGGCCATCCCTGTCTTCAGCCACACACCTGGATCTTCAGGGTGCCAGATGCACCCTTTGCCTGGCCCTCCACATGCCTCACTGTCCCTCCCTGTCTCAGATTCCACATGGAGCCTGTGACCCCTCTCCCATTCTTCTCAAGTTCCTAAACCCACTTCTGCTTCCTCAGCTGTCACTTACTTCAACGGGAAAGTTGAACTTCCCCAACTCTCCCACTTTCTGGCCCCAGTTTCCTCCAGACCTGCTTCCCCATCTGTCCTCCTCCTCCCAGGCTCACAGGAAGACGTGTCCCTCCTCCAGCCCTTGCTCAAGGCCCACCAAGAGAGCTGGAGCTGGAGCACCCGAAGCCAGTGGTTCCCAAGCCTGCCTACATATCAGAATCACCGGGAAACCTTGAGGGAATACAGTCTCCCTGGCTCCCGCAGCTTCTCCAAAGGCAGGACCTGGAATCAGCATTTTAAAACCCCTTCCCTGGTTGGGCAACACTGTCTTCTTGGTCGCTGGTCTCCGGGTTCCCTGCAACGGGATGCTGGATGCTGCCGGGACTGTCGCTTGCATAAGGACCTGCATGGAGCCTGTTTTAACTTCCTCCCATTTTCAGCTCCGGTCCTTGCAATCTGGGCTTCTTTGGGGCCAGTCTTCCCTTGGGTGAGGGGACTTCACAGGCTCCAAACCAGACCACCCAGGCTGTGAAGCCGCAGTCCTCCCTTACCCCCAGACTCTTTCCCACCCCCCACCTCCTCCCATGGGAGTCTCCTCCTCCTCTTCCCACCCCTTAAAGGGAAGGCCCATCCCCCAGGGAAATGGGTCCCCCCACTCTTCATTCTCTACCCCCATTTCCTGGCCCCAGACCCGGTTCCTACCCCATCTCTGCCCTAGCACCGGTTTGTGCAGTGGCTTCCTTGACCTCCAGCGCTGCCCTGCACGGTGGGCTGGGTTCTCTGCAGGGGATACTGGTGGCCTCTGAGGGCCAGAGGTAGTTGAGAACCATGGGTCTCATTCCCACTTCCTGGTCAGGTGATATGTTACAACGAAGTTAAGTCTCTACCTCACTGAAAACAGCCTTTAGCACGAAGCACAAAAACAGACATCCCACCTCTGCCACGAGCTTGGGGACGCCCCACTCTGCTCTTTCAGGAAATCTCTCAGGGCGAATTCAAGGACATGCTGACTATTGACTCCAGTCAGATTATTATGTGGGAGGGCCCAGGACCACTAGAGAAAGTTCTAGACCCAGGGCTGCCCTGCTGGGTTGCTGGGCTCATTCAGGCACAGGCAGAGGGGACTTGCAGGGTTTCTTGCCAGGCACCCCTCTCCAGCCACACTCCTTTCACTGAAGAACAATGACTTCGGACCCTTCAGCGCTGATTCACAGGCCCTCTGCTGCAAGTGTAGACAGCCACATTTGAAGCTCTGGCTGTGGCCGCCCCTGGAGTGTAGACTTCTGCTCAGGATCTTTCAAACACTAAAATTAACGCACACGCTTACGAGCATCCCACAGTGGTGCTGAAGTGGTTACAGCCAGCACGGCTTTCCGCCCGAGGAGGGCCGCCTCTCTGCAAGGTGCTCAGCCGTTCCTCATAGTCTGCTTTTGGGTGTCCCAAGTCAGCCACCACCTTGTCCCAGTGCATCCTCTGGCTGGTCAGAGGACTCTCTGCTCCCCCTGCCAGGTCTCTGCAGGCCCTCGCCCCTGGGTTAAAGCCTGGGCCGGTGGTTACCAGCAGGGATGAGGGGGTGGGCAGGGGCAAGGTGGGGGAAGAGGGCACTTCTTGGGGTCCTCCCACATCCCAGCTCACTGAGCTCCCCCTTCCAGGGCAGCAACCTGAGGTGCTCAGAGAGTGACCTTGTGACAAGGACACAGAACCCACCTCCTGCAGTCTACCCAGCTAGCTCATCCATCCCAGCCCCTCCAACCTCCGATCTTGGCTCTCCTGAGCTGTAACTTCCATCCACTCTGGGCTCTGCCAGCAGCGAGGGTGTGGGGGGCAGGGGCAGAGTCCACACAGACTGACCTGCCTTCCTGCTGGCCGTGCTCAACCTTCCTGGCTGTGTCTGGAGACCACCCCCAGGAATCTGCCGGGGCTCTGCCCTCAGGGGCTGGGACAGGTGGCACCAGCTGGATGGGGTGGCAGTGGGGGCCACTGTGCCAGCCAGAGCCTGGCCAGGCTCCCACACTCCCCACCCCCACCCACCGCCAGGCACTCATGTTGTCATTCATTTTCCCATTCTGAGTTCTACTTCGGCACAGATCAGATGATTCCATGATGACAACCTGTTCATCTCAATTGACCAGATTCCACTGGCAAACACTCCCCTGACCTTGGGCAGCTCCTTCCATTACCACCTCCCTGAGCCCTTGCAGTTCTGGGGCCTTGTGGGGTGGGACAAACACTGATGATAATATTACCAGCAGCCGGCCATGATGCTCACCGCGAAGGGGACACTGGTGCGTGCACTTCGCATGCGTCATCTCACATAACCCTGTGCTGGCAGGAAACTGAGGTCTCAAGGGGATAAGCCACCTGCCCCTAGTGACATCCAGGAAATGCAGGGGCCTGAGCCAACCCCCACCCTTCCAGTCCCTAAACACAGGCTCAAAACCCCTTCCCAGGGACAGCTGTGTCTGCCCCTCACCAGGCACCTGAGGAGGCCCCGCAGCACTCAGGTGAGAGGTCAGTGGTGAGGCCAGGTGGGCTCTTCTCAGCAGGGCCCCTCGAGCAGAGCCAGGGGAGCCTCCCTAGCCCTTCCTCAAGGCCGCACTTGCAGCAGCCTGGGCAGCGGAGCGAGGCACATGGTGCTCTGTGGGGATGAGTGTCCCAGGCCCAGCTGGGATGGAGCAGGCAGTGGGGGCCACAGGGGTTGTGGGTGGCCCTCAGTGACAGGCAGCCAGGCCAATGGGGGCTTTGGGCTGCAGGTCAGGCCTTCTGCCTGCTCTGGGACTTCAGGAGGGCCATTGCAAAGGGCTCTGGCCCCAGGGTTCTCCTCAGGAATTCTGCCTGGAAGGCCCTTCACATTTCCTGATTGGTGCTTACAGCATCCCAGAACATTCTATTGCGCCTTAAGTTTTTCTTCCCCCTCCGAGGGGCCCTCAAACCTTAAGGAAAGGGCTGAAGGGCTCCTCACTTCCTGCTCAGAAGCTTAGGACCCAGCTGGGGCCTCCTGGGCTCCCTGTGTGCCCCAGCGCAGGAAAGTGGCTCCCTATCACTGCTGTCCCTGGGACAAGGGGTTGAGGAAGGGCGCAAGGCCCACCTCTGCACCAGGCAGGCCTCCTGGATTTGCTGACCAGCCCTGGGCTAGTTGTGCACTGAGCTCACTGGGCTGTCCCCTCTGCACCGCCATTTCCTCCTTTGTTAAATAGGAATAATAACAGTACGTGCCTCTAGGATTACGTGAGTCATTCATGCAGGGACCGAGAATCAGGCTTGGCATATTGTAACCACTCAGTGAATGGTTAGCGGTTATGATTGGACCATAAGATGCTTCTGTTTCAACTCTATGGGCATTTTTTAGGTCCTACTGTATGCTCAACACTAAGACTTCAATGCGGAACAAGACCAGAACAAACAACCTGAGTGACAGCAGGATCAGCCAAGGCTTTTACCTGTTGGAGAAACTCACAGTCCCCTGGATGGGACCCTGCTTGAGCCAAGGATGCCCCCTCCATGGTCCATGTCCAGGTGCAGCCCACTGCCCACAGTAGGTGGACCTGGCACGCACAAGCAGATTAATAAAGGCTTGGGGACGAAAAGGGCTTTGAGTGAAATATTTTGGGGGGGATGAAAAGAAAGGAGATTGGGCTAAGGCAGACAAACAGGCTGGGCAAACAGACCTTCCCTTGGAGGTGCTGGGGAGCCCTCAGCGGGAGGAGGGACCCCAGAGGTGGGGAGGAGACAGCCGGGGGGTACAGAGAAGGCTCCCTGAGCCATGGCCTGGGCCGCGGTCCTGAAGGGGAGCCCAGCCTCCTCCAGCCTCTTCTCCTTGTAACCTGGTGGTGATGGTGGTGGTGGTCGTGGGGTCTGCCTGGGTAGGGGAAAAGGGAAGAAAGCAGAGGGGAAGAAGGAACCCCTGTCCGCTGTCTGCTTGTGTCCCCCAAGGAAAAGTCAGAACGGGGCCAGAGAGAGATAAATGGCGGGGCCTGCGGAGCCCCTGGGGAGGCGGAGGTGGACGGGTGTCCAGGCTAAGCACGCGTCCGCGACGGGCCCGGGGAGGCTCCGCAGGGGACAGGCGTTCCCGGGGTGGAGGCGACCCTCGTGGTCCCCGAAGTCCCGCCTCGGCTGCTCGCGGTCGCGCCTCGGATGGCGCCTCGGAGAAATGGGGTGGTCCCGGCCGTCGGCAGCGGGGAGGGCCGGGGGCGCCGAAGGGGTTAAGGCACCTGGGCCGCCGCCGCCCCAGCCGGCCCCTCCTCCCGCCGCCGGGAAGAGGAAAGTCGCGGCGGGGGCGCGGCCCGGCCTCCGCCCCCGTCCGCCCGCCCGCCCGCCCGCCGGCCGTCCAGAGCCGCGGCCCCAGAGCTGCGAGCCGCGCGCCCCGCTCCGCCGCCGGCCCGGGCCGCCATGTCTCTGTGGTGAGTGGGGGGCCGGGGGGCCGGGGCCGGGACGGAGATGCGCCGGCGTGCGGGGCCGGCCTCAGTTTCCCGGGCCGGACGGCCGGGGGGCCGGGGCCGGGACGGAGATGCGCCGGCGTGCGGGGCCGGCCTCAGTTTCCCGGGCCGGACGGGCTCGCGCGGCGGCGGCAGGGGATGCCCGGCCGTGCGCGGTGCGCGGCGGGCTGGGCTCGCTCTCCGGCCCCGGCCCCGCCGCCCCGGATTCCGCCCCAGGACCGCGGCGGTGGGGACTGAGGTCTCGCCGGTGCCGCGTCCCAACTCCATTCCGGCCGGGCTCTCAGACCCCGGCGGCCTCCTGCGCGGGGCGACCCTCTCGCCTCCCCCGGGGCTCTCCTTCCTCGGAGCGCAGGCCTCCGCCCGCCCGGCCCCTCTCCCCCTGCCGGGCTTTTCTCTTGCAAATGGAGTGGGCGGGCGCAGGTGGAGTGCGCCTGCGGCCCCGCGGGCCTCGCCCAGCCCCCGGGGGGCACCCCCGACCTTCCCGGGCCTGGCCTCCCAAACTGGGGCTTGGTACTTCTCTGGACCCCGCAGGGCTGGAGGGCTGGATCCAGGGTACTCAGCTCCCCTCCCTGGGAGAGTCGGGCCTTGGGTCACACCCCCAGCCCGCACCTGAGGTGACCCTGTCTTCCTCCAGCCCCATGCCCAGGAAACCTTGGGACCCCTTAGAAAAAATGTCACTCTGGGGCTTAGCCGTCTTTCACCTTGGGTGCCTGGACCTGCCACCCGCCAGGCTGAGGCCACCCCAGGGCTCTCCCTGGGCTCCCTGTCTCCCTGCCACCCTGCTCCTGCTGGCCTGGAGGTCAGGGCCATCTCCCTGCTAGCCAGCCCTCGGCCCTCAAAGGCCACTCTGCTGACCTGCCTTTTCCTGGGAGCTCTCAGTCACCTGTCTTCACAGGGGAAGCTGCAGCCCCCAGAGGGTGAGCTGAGGGGAGCTGTCCTGCCAGAGGAGGAGGGCTGGACCAGCAGTGCTCTGAGCAAAGAGCTCTTATTTCTGCTTCTGAAATGGGTGTGAGGTGGGTACCTGGGCCAGGAGGCTCCCTCAGAGCTGGGGCTCCGAATGTGTCCCTTCCCCAAGGCAGTGGAGCTGGGACCTGATGCCTCTGTCTGCGATGTTAAGCGGGGGGAGAGTGTTAAGGTAGTGGTGAGGGGCAGTGGTCATCTGGCAGGTACCCACTCCATCCATAGGCCTCTGTCAACCATAGCGCAGCTTGCTGGGTCACATGGACGGGAAGGGAGGGAAGAGGACAGGCTCAGGTCTGAACTCCTGTTGCTCCCCAAGGTGGTGTTGCTGGCTGCAGAGAGGGCCCTGCCTCTGCCCCTCCCAGACCCTGGCTCAGTCACCTAATGATAATGCTGCCTGCAGTTACTGGGGTTATACAGGGAAATGAAAGCCAGTAGGGTGCCAGGGGTGGGGAGCAGGGCAGAGATGTCCGCCAGAGGTCCTCTGGGTGAGGTGACTGGTGCCCACTGCCTGCTTGGTGCTTTATATAGCACTCCAGTCCTGTGCTTTAGCCTCACTCGGGGGAAGAAACCTCAGCTTGGGGAGATCGAGACCCAGTCTAAGTCATTCAGCATGTAAGTGGCAGGGCCTGATTCCACAGTGCTCCTTGAGGAGGGGGTCAGGGTGGGAGGGGAAGCAGGACCCCTCTCTGGGCACTAAGGGGCTCTGGGACTTGAATCTGTGCCCCAGGTGCACTTGCCCATCTGGGACCAGCCAGCCTCCGTAGGAGGGCAGCTAGGAGAGTCCTGGGCTCATCCTTTCATCTGTACTGTTTCCCCCTCTCCTCCCATAGGAAGAAAACCATCTACAGGAGTGTGTGCCTGGCCCTGGCCCTGCTCGTGGCCGTGACCGTGTTCCAGCGCAGTCTGACCCCCAGTCAGTTTCTGCAGGAGCCCCCGCCTCCCACCCCGGAGCCACAGAAGGCCAGCGGACAGTTGCTGAACTCCAACAGCTTCTGGAAGAATGAGAAGATTGTGGCCACCCCCACTCCCACGGCCTCTCGGGGTCCCCAGGCCTGGGACGTGACCACCACTAACTGCTCAGCCAACATCAACTTGACCCACCAGCCCTGGTTCCAGGTCATGGAGCCGCAATTCCGGCAGTTTCTCCTGTATCGCCACTGCCGATACTTCCCCATGCTGCTGAACCACCCAGAGAAGTGCAGGGACGATGTCTACCTGCTGGTGGTTGTCAAGTCAGTCATCACACAGCACGACCGCCGAGAGGCCATCCGCCAGACCTGGGGCCGTGAGCAGGAGTCAGCAGGCACTGGCCGGGGCGCCGTGCGCACGCTGTTCCTGCTGGGCACGGCCTCCAAGCAGGAGGAGCGGACCCACTACCAGCAGCTGCTGGCCTACGAGGACCGCCTCTACGGCGACATCCTGCAGTGGGACTTTCTCGACACCTTCTTCAACTTGACCCTCAAGGAGATCCACTTCCTCAAGTGGCTTGACATCTACTGCCCCAACGTGCCCTTCATCTTCAAAGGCGACGATGACGTCTTCGTCAACCCCACCAACCTGCTCGAATTTCTGGCTGACCGGCAGCCACAGGAAAACCTGTTCGTGGGCGATGTCCTGCAGCACGCTCGGCCCATCCGCAGGAAGGACAACAAATACTACATCCCCGGGGCCCTGTACAGCAAGGCCAGCTACCCGCCCTATGCAGGTGGAGGTGGCTTCCTCATGGCCGGCGGCCTGGCCCGGCGCCTGCACCACGCCTGTGACGCCATAGAGCTCTACCCCATCGACGATGTCTTCCTGGGTATGTGCCTGGAGGTGCTGGGCGTGCAGCCCACGGCCCACGAGGGCTTCAAGACTTTCGGCATCTCTCGGAACCGCAACAGCCGCATGAACAAGGAGCCGTGCTTTTTCCGCTCCATGCTCGTCGTGCACAAGCTGATGCCCCCCGAGCTGCTGGCCATGTGGGAGCTGGTGCACAGCAACCTCACCTGCTCCCGCAAGCTCCAGGTACTCTGACACCAGCCGGGCCACCAGGACAGGCCAGGGCATGTCACGCACTTTTGAGTCCCCAGGGTATCAGGGCTGAAGCCGCAGTGCCCAGGCATAGCCTTTGGTCCCTGTGGGGAGGTGGAGGGGTTCGGGCCTACGTGCCACTGGGTGTGGTAGGGTACAGGTAGCCAAAGGGAGACCTCCCTGTGCAGATAATTTCCAGAAAGCGAGGCCCAGGAACGATTGGAGCTGCCAGTCTGGAGGTCCCCCGAGGAGTGAGGACATAGGCCCTGGCAGCCGTCCTGACCTGGGTCTGTTGCCTGGCTCCCTCTGACCCAGTGTGAGGCCCTGGTGGCCTCTGAAGGAACCCTGTGCTCAGGTACCCAGGCTAGGCCCGTCCCCAGGGGTCTGGGGCTGCCCTTGTCTTCACAGGGAAGAATCTTCCTCTGAGAAATGCCTCAGTCTCCCCAGGGACCAAGCAGCCCTTTCAGGAGAAGCTCAACCCTGTGCTGGCTCACAGGTGTCCCCTGCAGTCCATGTCCCCGAGTCTCGAGGGCACCTCAGCAGGCTCTCTGCTCCTGGGGGCTGTGCTCCTAGCTGCATCCTCTAAGGTCTGGAAGCGCACCAGCCACTCTAACTACCTCAGCGCTCCTCAGAACCTCCACATGGGTCACCCACCCCACCCCGACACAAGGCGAAAGAACGGCGCCCCTGGCCCCCGACATCCCAGTGCTATCTGACCCCAGCCCGAGCCAGGGTCCCTCCTGCAGCCCTACCGACGCCTGGCTCCCTGGCTGGACAACAGCCAGTTTGGCCCTGGAAGTGGACATTCCTCTATTACTGTGAAGTTTTATTTATGAAGAATTTAGAGGGAGAAGGCTCCAGGCCTCAGGAGGTGACGGTGTTCTCCCGGCCCGCCCCTTCCTCTCCCTCACTCCAGCTGCCCCCAGCACCCAGGCCCCTGACAGCCCTCTCCAAGCCTGCCCTGCCCGCTTCTCCAGGGTCTGACAGACCAGCCTTTGCCCCTGTGAAGGGATGGATTGGAGCTCATGGGTGGGTGCAGAAGGATGCCACCCCCTACCTCAGGCTGGAGTCACCTGGTAAGGATAGAGGGATCGACTATTTTGTCAATAAAATGGGACTGGTTTTTTTTCTGGTGTGAAGCTTCCTGTTGCCAGCTCCGTCAAAGGCCCTGCCTGGGGCCCAGGTTGCCAGAGGTTTCTGAAGACACAGCTTGTTCCTTGTTCTTGGCTGGTGGGTGCAAAAGGACTGAAGTCCCTTGAAGGGACTGAGAGGGAGGTGAGTGCTAGGATTACAGTGGGGACAGGGGTATGGCAAGAGAGACCTGTGAGCTAACAGGGCATCTGGCTGGTGCCTGTGTCGTGGTGAACTGCTGAGCTCTGGCTCAAGCATGGGCTGATGCCTTCCCACCCCTGCCAAGGCCAGAGTTGGCCACAAGGCTAATACTTCAGTGGGTGGGATTCGGTGGGGTGCTGCAGAGTTTGGTGGGCTTCCTGACTTCCCTTACAGTCAATTTGGAAGCATTGAAAACAGGCTCCCTGGGGTTGGGGGTTACTGTCCTGTGCCAGGGCCCTTGGCCTGAGCTGTTTACCTCCGGCGGGGGGTGGGCAGCTACCCCAGGATGAGAATCACTGGGGCGGCAGCGAGCAAGCCAGCAGGTTCCTGCATGCACCCAGCTCAGGGGCATCCCAAAGGTGGGTCAGGTGCGTGCCCATCCTGGGCCCAGCTGCCTGGTCCAAGCCCTGGGGAAGAAAGAGGGGACGATGCTGCTGCTATTTCCCCCAGCACGGTCTTCTCACAGTTTCCTCTTAGTCGACATAATTTGCAGAGCTCAGTACAAAATGAAAATACAGGACCCTGGTTCTAAAAAGGTATTAAGAATTTTAAGATTACAATAGCAGAGCATGAAACCAAGTTCAGGGCATTTCTGAGGGGCCCTGTTTGTTCATCACTCACCCATAGAAGCCAGGCCCTGCCATGGACTACAGACAACAGAGGGGTCTGGGGCCACTGTTTCCCCAGAGCTCACAGTCCAGTGATGAAAGGGACAGCCAAGGGACACCCAGGCAGAGGGAACAGCTTATACAGAGGTCTGGAGGGAGGGAGGTGAGTGCATTCTGAGCTGAGAGTAGGGAAGGGAGGGCTGTTCTCAGGCCTTCTGGGTTCAGGAGGGTGCTTGGACCTGATCCTAAGAGCAGAGGGTCCAGGGACAAGGAGCAAGGGTGCTGGGTGTGTGCAATCTGAGGGCACAAAGAGACCAGTGGTTTTTAGGCCCCTGCAGCCTTCCTTGGGCTCACTCCACCTGGCTCCAGCTGGGCCCAGTGGATACAAAGGTCATTCTGGAAGATTCAGGCATTTACAATCTTGCTTCCTGGTAATGATGTAACAATTATCATGTATGGAACACTTTTGATATGCCTGGCACTGTGGTAAGCACTTAATATGTATAACCGGTGTAACTCAGGGTGCAGATATGGTTACATTTTAATTTTTTTCATTGATTGCTCAAATCCTCCATGTACTCTTATTGGCAGAAAAATCCGAGGTTACCTTCTTGGACCCCACCCACTCTCAAACTGACCAAGAACCTCAGGGGTTTTTCCCTACTCCAAAGGGTGTTTTCTAGAACTGTGGTCCCCAACCCACAGGCCGCTGCCTGTTAGGGACTGCAGAGCTCCGCCCCTCCCCCCCCCCCACCTGCTGTGGAAAAATTGTCTTCCATGAAACCAGAACCTGTTGCCAAAAAGTTTGGGGACCGCTGCCCTAGAAAGTCTGAGCAGTCATCTCCAGCTGTTCCCTCTCTCTCCACACAGTGGCGCTGTTGAACACGAGGCCTGCACAGGCCTGTGGTTTCTTAGGCGCTACCTTTGCTGCACAGGCTACAGTGGAGCCCATGCTTCAGAAAGTTATCCTTCTCTCCGTCACTCTCACAAGCTCGGTGATCTGTCCCCAAAGAGCAGCAACATGCTAGGGGTGCTGGGTCCTGTGGGTCCCAGTCAGCTACACAGTCTGCCAGTGAACCCACAAACTCACTCAGGTTCTCCCTGTCCTACTGAAGCAATTTTCCCGGCCTTTCCAGACAGATAATTGTAGTTAGTCCCCAACCTGATTTGGGGGAGTAGTTTGGGAGGGATGGGTCTTAACTCTTTCCTCTTCAAAGGCCCTGACTTTGCAAAATGGTTGGCCTTCTCCCCTGCAACCAGCTCTGCATTCCAAGGGGCCTTGAAAAGGGGCAGTCTTTGTCAGGCTTAGAAAAGTCCTGTTCCACGCTTCCCTCGGGCAATAGGTGCCTCCTTGGCCGCATTTACATAACTAAAGGAGACCACTCAAAGAATTCTACTCTTCTCAAAGAAAGCCTGTTCTTAGGTGACTTGCTCTGTACACCTAAACTGAGAAGGAGCTGGGGGAAGCCTCTGGAATCCTGTTATACACGAAGTGCAAAGAAAGAAATGGAGACCCCCAAGAGAAGGATCCCACAGCTATTGTGTGAGGGGCACGATTTGAACTCTGTGCTCTGTGCTCCTAACTCCCACACCTTAATGTTTCCTGAGAGCTTCCAGCCTCCCTTTTTCCTTATAGTATCTTAGTAGTAAATATGTGTTTGTTATTTTTGTCCAAAAGTCCAGGGAATGGGAAAATGTTATGTTCCATGAGTGACTGAAATTTTGGTGTTTTGGGGGGAGCCCAGCATTATTAGCACTGTAAGAAGTAGATTTTCCCAAATAGTTGTTTAAACTATTGTGAAGAAAACCTTTTCTGTTCCAGTGAAACACTATGCATTGTCTAAAGCAGGGGTTCCCAACCTATGGTGAGTTGTATAATTATTTCATTATATATTATAATGTAATAATAACAGAAATAAAGTGCATAATAAATGTAATGCGCTTGAATCATCCTGAAGCCATGCCCCCTGTTCCCCCCACGCCCACCCCGTCCGTGGAAAATTGTCTTCCATGAAAACGGTCCCAGGAGCCAAAAAGGCTGGGGACCACTGGTCCAAAGCACAGCCTGGAGTTGTCTGCTTCCAGCGGGTTCTTCGTCCTTGAGCTATTTTGCACCTCTTTTTAAGCTGCAGGTTCTGAGTGCTCTGCAAACTGTCTGGTCAGGTGGAGCTTCCATTGACTCCCCCTCCCCTTGGAAAAACCAGTTGCCTCCATTTGTAATTCAATTCCTTCACTCCATATAAATTTGTGCTTTTTGATATCTCCTTTGAACCGGTTACAGTATCTGCCTCGCCCCTCCTGTGAGTAAAATAACTCTTAACATATGCTCAGTTTTACATCTGTATGCGAGTCGTGAATTTACTTTTTCTGAAAATTATCTTTTATCAATTGCATTTATATTAAACGAGCACAGATGCGTTACGAAGTAGAATACAACTTCTGCACATATTTCTAATACAAAACTTAAATCTTGGAATAAATTTTACACTCAATTATAGGCCAAACCATAGAGCCCAATCCTTCCTGGGAGGGTTCAGCGACCTTGCCCGTCTGAGAAGCCCCCACCCCAGAGAACTTTGAGAAAATATTTGGTCCAGGCCCCTACCTAAGCGGCTGAATTCAAAACAGTAGGGGTGGGGGGGAGCCGAGGTGTTTTTCCAGCTCTCCAGGTGACTCGGGCGAGCACCCCGGCTGGGAGCTACCGGCGGGGCAGGGATTTGCTGGCCCTGCATGCAGCAGTTGACCTAGCACAAGTCACCTAGCCCTTTGTTTTCCCTGGGGCTTCTGAATCCAGCAGGAATGCCCGGAATTCCTGCTCCCGTCCCAGGCTGGGCAGCCCCGCGCGCCCGGCCGGGCTCGGGCCGCCCCCAGCGGCTCGTCGTCGCGGGGCAGATAGGAGCTGCCGGGTGGCGCCGGCGGCCGAGGGACGGCCCAGCGCGGAACTGGCCTCGGGCTATGCTGGGGACAGTCGCGCTCGGCCGTGGAGGGCTGGCGGTGAGCCCGGCGTGCGTGTTGGTGGTGGCATCCGCAGATCCCGGGGGCCTGCGGAGGAGCGGCGGTCGCCGCGCGGCGGGGTGCGCGCCCCGTAGGAGCATCTCCCGGCGGGACCTGCCGGCGGGGACCCGGCAGGCGTGGGGGCGCGGGGCGTGGCAGACCCCTCGGACCCGCGCGAAGGCCGCGGGCGGGGCAGGGCCCGCGGGCAGCAAAGGAGGGCAGGCGGGAGGGCGGGAGGAGTCCCTGGCCTGTGCAATCCCAAGAGAGGGCAGGGAGCGCCCCCAACTGACCACCTGGGACATTGTGACACTGGGGGTGGGGTGAGGAGGGAGGATACGCACTGGTCATGCGAAATCTGGAACGTGCAGTGCTTGTGCCCGAAGGCGCCCGTTTTGTGTGCCTCGATCCAGGAACGCTGCACACCAAACTGTTAACAGGAATTGTTCCTCGGTAGTGAGATTCCCGGGGTTTCCTGTTCTTTTCTTTCGGCTTGTCTGTGGAAGGAAGACTTCCTACCACGAGCATCTGTCGCTGAGTGAGTCCTGACGTTTAGAAGATAGAAGTGTGCCAACATCTGGACACACGCAGCAGCCTTGGAGGGAGTGAGGGGGCTTTTGGTGCTGGCCAGGGTCCCTCAGGAGCCTGGATCAGGGACGGAGGAATGGTCGTGTTCCACTGGCCAAGGAGGTGGGTGCCGCCCTTCAGGTTGACAGAAATCACTGAGGCCGCCCATCCTCCCAGGCCTGGTCAGGTCAGAACCACGGCCTTGGATACCAGGAAACAGTGTGATGTTGTTAAGTGTTGCAATCCCATCTCATAGACAAATAACACTAATGCATTTTTATAAAAGCTAATATAAAAAGCCAACATTGGTTAGGATGTTTGGTTTCCAGTGACATAAAATTCAGTTCAAGCCAGTTGAAACCTTCAAGGGGATTTGCTTGCTCACAGGAGTGATAGTTAGGGAATGCCTGCCCCCGGGGATGGTCACACTCAGTGGCTAATCCAAGGCAGAAACTTAAAGCAGCCACCCACTAACCTGGGCGGCCTGGCTGGGAAAAGAAGGCTGAGAATGCTCTCGGGCAGCCTGGCCGCAAAAGCTGCGCGTTAACCACCACACGGAACACCTGTGTAGGGTCTGGAGGACTTTGGGGCGGGTCTGGACACAGCTGCCCGTCCACCATAGCTGCCCGCAATCAGTAAAAGCAGCTGCTGGTTGGAAGGGCAGACTCCGATCAGGTGGGTGAGCTCATGCAGGCTTAGTCGGACGTTTCTTTCTAGATTTTGTTTTATGTACTTTGGAGCCATGTTGTCTCACACTTAAAAAATAGAGGGTGGCTGATAAAATGGACCTTCTCTAATGAGGACTTGTGAGCCATCGTGCATCACAGTAAACCCAGCATCCTCCCAAGATGTCCTGCTTCCCAAAAACTATGCACATGATGCATGGTCACTCCTGCAATTCGCTTACGTATATGGCACAGTTGGCCTTAAAATAGAGAGAGGATCTGGGTGGGTCTGATCTAGTCCCATGAGCCCTTAAAAGCAGAGAGCTTTCTCCAGCTGGTGGCAGAAGGAGACATCGGAGAGACCCGAAGCAGAATTCCACATGCCATTGCTGACCTGAAGATGGAGGGGCCAAGTGACAAGGAATGGAAGCTGAGACCAGCTCCTGCTGGCAGCCAGCCAGGAAATGGCAACTTCAGACCTACAACCACCAAGAACTGGATTCAGCCAGTAGCAGAAGTGAGCTTGGAAGAGGACCCCAAGTTCCAGAGGAGGATGCAGCCAACATGTTGATTTCGTCTGGCATGGAGAACCCAGCCATGCTACAGTGGCCTTCTGACCCACAGAAATGTGGCAAAATAAATGGATGTCGTGTAAAAAAGAAAGAACCAAAACGCCCAGCAAAAATGTTAACAGTACAAAGAGATATTGCCAGAAACACAAATGCAGTGAGAGTCTTTAACATACTATTTAATATTTAATCAGTCTAGAAGAGTTTTAGCTCACAAAAATCAAAGACACCAAAGACCCAGCAAATATTACCATGAGTAAGATTCAATCAAAGATCTTTATCAAACTCTGTACCACACATATCTTTTTGTAAATGAAACATTTACTGCCTGCATGTATTAGAAAGATAGAAAACATCAAGTATCCTCCCAGGCAGAAATTAGACAGGCCAAACTCTATGTCCATGATGCATGATAAACCAGAAATTACCCACAAAAGTAAACCAAACAAGAACAATGTCAACAATCCTAGACTCTTCTTTCTTTCTCTCTCTCTCTTTCTTTCTTTCTTTCAAGACAGAGTCTTGCTCTATCACCCCGGGTGGAGTGCAGTGGTGTCATCACAGCTCACTGTAACCTCAGACTCCAGGGCTCAAGCAATCCTCCTGCTTCAGCCTCCTGAGTAGCTGGGACTATAGGCATGTGGCACCACGCTCAGCTAATTTTTTCTATTTTTGGTAGAAATGGGGTCTTGCTCTTGCTTAGGCTGGTCTTGAACTCCTGAGCTCAAGCAATCCTCCCGCCTCGGCCTCCCAGAGAGTGCTAGGATTACAGGTGTGAGCCACCGTGCCAGCCTCTCTAATTCATTTTATGAAGTTAATATAACCCTGACCTCAAACCCAGCAAAGAAAGCATAGCTAAATCACCCTGATTCCGCAAACTGCACACAGCCAGAACCCTCCTTGTCTCCTGGTCTCGTAGCTTCCAGGAACTTGGTGTCCCATTTGTCCCTAAATCGTATTGATCAATAGTCCTCCCTGTCAAGAGCAGAGTCAGCCTTCTCTTTTCAGAATGATCTCTGGGACCTCCAGGGGCTTGTCTCCTGGGGGATTCTCACCATGGCTAGATTTTACTCACCACCTTCTCATCGCTGTCGTTGACTTTGCACACAGATCACTGCCGCTGAGTGCCCCCGACCCTTTGGGACCACCTGGGTTCCCCCTGAGTAGCCCATGGGCATTGCTGACCAGCTGTGGACCAGAAGGCCCCCTTGGGGCCCCTGTGGCTTGCAGGGCTGTCTCTGCATCAGGCCTCTGCTGGGCCTTGGGGGCAGAGAGCAGACCAGGTAGAGCTCATCCTTCCCTGGTGGCCATTGCAGCCGTCCCCTGCCCCACCGGCCCTTGCCCCAGCTCTCTCACCAGCCTCTGTACCCGCGCCCAGCTGAGATGCATCTCCCCCTTCTCGTGTGCTGTTCTCTCAGAGGGGCGGAGTTGGGGGCGGATTCCACAGGAGGGTTGCTTGGGTCTCTGGGGGAATATGGTTCTTTCAGTTTTACCACAAAACTTTCTTCTACGCAGGTTGCAGCCACTGGTACCTGACAGAAACCCAACTCCAAACTAGCTCAAGAAAAAAAGAACTTTTATAACTGAAATCCCTAAGGCTTCAGGCAGGGCTGGGTCTAGGTGCTTAAATGATTGTTCTTTGTCTGTTAGGTCTTTTCTCTGAGTTGACTCTATTCTCCACCGGGCTTTCTCCAGGTGAGGGGAAAGGCAGCTTAGACTTACGTTGTCTTTACAACTCACAATCCCAAAAGGAAAAAAAAAAAAAGAAATGTCTTTTTGATATCTCTGGCAAAAAAATTCAAAGGAGGGCTCCAATTTGACAGGGTTGGGTCACGTGCACAAGCCGGAACCAGTGTCCAGGGCAAGGGGAATGGAGTCCTCTAATCGGTACCGCCAGGGGCAGGCTTAGTCCTACTTGTCCCACTGGCTGGGGC